TTAAATTCATTTCTTTTAAGATTTATGTATTTGTTTGAAGGCAAAGTGACGGAGGGGGGAGAGAGGGAGGGAGGGAGAGAGAGAGATTGTGCATTCACTGCTTCTCTCCTTAAATGCCTGCAGCAGCCAGGGCTGGGCCAGGCCAAAACTAGGAACTTACAACTCCATCCAGGTCTCCCACATGGGTGACAGGGACCTGAGGGCTTGGGCCATCCTCTGCTGTTTTCCCAGGCGCATTAGCAGGGAGCTGAGTGGGAAGTGGAGCGGTAGGCACTGGAGCCGACACTCGGATGCTGACCTTGCAGGCTGTGGCTTAACCTGCTGCTGTGCCACGTTGCTGGCCCCATGTTATGGTTTGTTTGTTGTTTTAAAATTATATTGATCTAAGAAACAGACCTGCCGTTTGCTAGTTCTCTCATCCAGTGCCCGCAGTGGCCCTGGACCAGGCTGAGCCAAAGCTGGGAGCCAGGAACTCGATCCAGGTGTCCCTGTGGTGGCAGGGACCGAGCCACTTGAGGTTTTACCTGCTGCCCCCAGGCTCTGCTTTAGCAGGAAGCTGGAGTCGGGAGTGGAGCTGGGGATTAAAACAGGGCACTCTGATGGGGAACACGGGCTTAAACGCTAGGCCGTTACTCAGTCCGTACTGCATTGCAGTTTTCTTGGCTTTTCCCTGATAGCATTTTCCATCCCAGATGGCGTCCACGATGCTGTGTGACGTCGACCTGGAGTCGTCCTGGCTCCCTGGGCTCCTTGTGTGGGTGACCCTGGCAGTCTTGGGGAGCACAGGTCCGGGGTGCTGCAGGCTGCCTCGTGGGCATTTGTCTAGTGGAATGGGGCGAGGGAGGAAGAGCACAGGGGTCAGGCGCCCTTCTCATCGCGTCCCGTCGCTGCCCGGGCAGCCGATTCCTCATCGCGTCCCATCACTGGCCGGGCAGCCGATTCCTTCTCATCGCGACCCATCGCTGGCTGGGCAGCTGATTCCTCATCGCAACCCGTCGCTGGCCTGCAGCCGATTCCTTCTCATCGCGTCCCGTCGCTGGCTGGGCAGCCGATTCCTTCTCATCGCGTCCCGTCGCTGGCCGTGCGCTCAACTTAAACGGCTTTGAGTGTTTGTGCTGCTTGCCCTCTGTCAGGTGGGGAGAGCCAGCCTCTGCCTGCAGAGCACACCCTGGTGGCTGCCTCTGGAAGCCTGATCCGAGTCTGGCCCCGGCCCCTTCCCCGGCAGAGCCAGCTGTGCTGAGTGGTTCGGATGTGAACAGCAGAACTGCGTGATCACGCCGGCCTCAGGTCCGGGCTGAGCAGGCGGCTGGGTTGGCTTCGCCCGGGCTGCTGCTCGGCTCGCTGGCGACTGCTGCTCCCTGCGTCTTCACGGATCAACCCTCTGCAGACGCCTGTACCCCCGCCTCTTCTCGGGACACCCCCGTCTTCACTTCATCGTCTCCGTACAGACCTGGTCTCCGAGCCCAGCCGTGGAGGGACACGGTTCAGCCGTGCCATTCCCCTCAGGGCTCCTGTGTCTCAGCTGGCGGCAGGGCCAACCCCACACGGACCTGCAGATTCGAGGTTCTGCCCGGATCCATCCTCGCCTCCCTGCCCTTGGAGGGGGGGCAGTGCTTCCCCCCGGAAAGAGCCTCTGCCCTAGATCTGCTCCCGCCTTGCCTGCCAGGTGCAGGGGGTTGCAGCACCTGCTTGCAGGCTCGAGTCCCGGGGAAGGCGTAGCCAGGGCGACCTCGCGGCCACTCGGGACAGCAGCTCCGTGCTTTGGGCAGTTGCTGTGTGCTGGGCTCCGGGCCGAGGTCCTCACAGGCTCTGACTTTGACTCCTCTCTCATCCCATTTCCCAGCTGGGAAAACTGAGGAAGTGGGTTGGACAGTGAGAGCAGTAGGGCGCGCCTTCCCCGCAGACCTGCCCCTCGGGCCCTTCCTGGGGCAGCTGGTGCCGTGGACGCGGCTGCCGGCCCCTCCTCGTACAGCCTTCCTTTTGCCTCCATTTGGACAAGTGGCAGACATGGCTGTGTGCTGACAAACGTGGCCCAGTCGCCTGTACTCTAGAGGTTGTAGCGGTGCGGGTGTGGCGTCGCTCTGCCGTCCTCGTCACCACCTCGGTCCATGTCCCTGAGCCTGTCGATTCATTGTACCCGTTTTCAAACTTCCTATCAAAAAGCATAACATGGATGCATTCTGGAATGTATTTCTTTTTTAAAGATCTATTTATTTGAAAGGAGAGTTACAGAGAGAGGGGGTGAGATCTTCCATCCTCTGCTTTGCTCCCCAAATGGTGGCATCAACCAGGGTTGGCCAGGCTAAAGCCAAGAGCCAGGCTCTCCATCCGGGTCTCCCACTTGGGTAGCAGGGGCCCAAGCACTTGGGCCATCAACTGCTGCCTTCCCAGTCGCATTAGCAAGGAGCTGGATTGGAAGCAGAGCAGGTGGGACTCGAACTTGTGCTCATGTGACGCCGGCCTCACAGGCAGAAGTTAACTCGCGAGGCTGCAGGCTGGCTCCTCTGCGGTGTGTGTCTGCACCTGGCATTATTTTAGGTACTTTCTGTGTTGCTGTGAGGCAGCCGTCTGTTAGGTGAGCAGTCTGCTGTCTCGCGTGTCCTCCATTGCCCAGTGTGTTTGGGTTTCTCAGTTTCTTTGTATGCAGTGTACACAGGGGTGCTCTGAATGAACCTGGGGTGTGCAACCTGGGGTGTGCATCAGCGTCGCGCGAGGGCTGTGAAAACAGCCCACCCCCACCTCCCGGCGCCCGAGGCTGCATGACCGGGGCGGGGGTGGGGGGGGCTGAGAGCCTGCATTGCGCATGAGCTCCGCTCCCGGGGGGGGGGGGGGGGGGACCTGGCTCAGCTTCGGGAAGCCTTTGCCTTGTGCTTCTGCTTCTGACGCCCACGGGTGTTGTGCACCCCCCCGGGGAGCGCGGGGTCACCTATTTTTTTCTCCTGGTCTGTGGGCTTCCGCCCAGCTTCCTCATCATGGTGGTCTGTGTTTTAGTTTCTTGTGTCCGCTTTTTAGAGTGCGCCAGTCCAGGCGGTTGGCACTGGTGCAGATGCTCAACGACGCCCTGCACCCATGTCAGAGTGCCTGGGTTCAAGTCCCGGCTCTGCTTCCAAGTCCAGCTTCCTGCACTGGCTGGCTCAAGCAGTTGGGTCCCTGCTGTCCGTGCGAGAGACCTGGATTGAGTTCTGGTCTCCTGACCCAGCCCCTACTGACGCGGGCACGAGGGCGTGAACCCCTGCAGATGGGGGCTTTCTCTCTCTGTCTCTTTCTGTCTCTCTGCCTTTTGTATTTTTGAAGTCTGTGACTGAATGGATTTTAGTTTATTCAACCAAGTTGTGCCGCCATCGCCACAATTTCAGGACATTCTCATCCCCTCACAAAGATACCCGCAGCCACCCCAGCCGCTGGCAGCCCCGCTCCGCTTTCTGTCCGTTTGCCGAGTCTGGGTGTTCCGTGGGGACGCGCATCGACAGCTGGCCTTGCGCGTCTGCCGTCTCTCGTTTGGCATCGTCTTTTCAGAGTCACCCGTGGTGTGGCATGAATCAGAGTCCCATCGTGCAGCTGGAGCCGTGTTTCTCCGTTGGTGGGTGGGGTCCACGTGGTCCTTAGGGGCACACGTCCCTGAGTGCCTGCAGCTGGACGATGTCTCATGGCGGATGTCCCTGCAGGAGGCTCAGGGTCAGTGCTTCTGCTAGAATCTGAGCTGCCAGTGGGAGTCTCAGAGGTTCGCTCTGTGCTCTGCATTTCACACGAGTGTCCCATCTGACGCGAGAGCTGACTGCATGAAGTGGGCACGCGAGGTAACCGCATGAAGTGGGCGTGTGAGCTAACTGCGTGAAGTGGGCGCATGAGCTGACTGCATGAAGTGGGTACTGTTAGCCCGCTTGTCAGCTGTCACTCTGTGCTCTGCATTTCACACGAATGTCCCATCTGACACGCGAGGTAACCGCCTGAAGTGGGCGCTGTTAGCCCGCTTGTTAGCTGCAGTCCCAGAGGGCTTCAGAATATTTAATATCCACAGCCCCATTTCATCAGAGGCAGAGCGGTTCACTCCCCCAGTGGTTACAGGAGCTGGCACTGGTCCAAGCCGAAGCCAGGAGCTGGGAACTTCGTCCATGCTTCTCCTACTGGGTTGCAGGAATCTGATAGTGGGCCATCCTCTGCTGCCTTCCAGCATCCCGTATGGGCACCGGTTCAAGTCCCGGATGCTCCTATTCCAATCCAGCTCTCTGCTATGGCCTGGAAAGCTGTGGGAGATGGCCCAAGTGCTTGGGCCCCTGCACCCGCATGGGAGACCCAGAAGCTGCTTCTGGCTCCTGACTTCGGATCAGCTCAGCTCAGCTCTGACCGTTGTGGCCATTTGGGGAGTGAACCAGCAGATGGAAGACCTTTCTCTCTGTCTCTCCTTCTCTCTGTCTGTAACTCTACATCTCAAATAAATAAAGAAAATCTTAAAAAAAAAAAAAAAAAAAGCAAAGCAGCTGGTACTCACACTGGCAGTCTGATGTGGGAGGCACAGCTCAGTCGGGCGGCCTCACCTGCTGGACCACAGCGCCCCCTCCAGAGCTGGGATTGGAACCCAGGCAGTGAGCTGCCCGGCCACAGTGCTAGCTCAGAGGTGGTTGGCTCTCCTGGCCGCGTGGTTCAACCCCAGCACCCCTGTCCTGGAGGAGCCGTCTGGCCAGGGGATGTCATTGAAAATGCTGTGACCAGTTCTCCCCGCGGTGGCTACCTTCCACACCTGAGCCAGTGTGCGTGCACGTGGGCACCTCTGGATCACAGTCTGATAGCACAGGGTGGGGCATCCTAGGTGTCTGTCTGTAGGGGACGGCACAGCTACAGGCATGCATGTTTAAACAGAAGGGAGCAGCTCTGTCCGCGTGAGGTTGAGCGGCTGTCGGTGGGGACAATGTGTCTGCGATCCCACTCCTGAGCTGCTGTGCCCCCGGGAAGGCGCGGAGGAGTGGCGGGTCGCCAGAGTGACCCTTTTCTTGTCTCCGCAGTTCCTGGCCAGGCTGACCGAGAGGTTCGTCTTGGGGGTGGATATGCTCGTGGAGACGTTGTGGAAAGTGTGGACAGAGCTCTTGGACGTCCTGGGACTTGACGGTAGGTGTGGGTCGTTCCTGTAAGGTGCTGTTTGATTCTGGTCGTCCACGAGGTCTGCAGCCGGTACCCTTGGTGGGTGGTCCAGGAGGAGATTGGCGGAGGGCGAGGCGGTGGGCATTTGTTGTTGTGATAGTTGTACAGAGACAAGGCCCACCAGAGCTGCATTTTCCCGGAAACTGCGGTGAGGGGTAGGGGTCCCCAGGAGGCCGCCCTACTACAGGCGTGGTGCTCCGATGAAATGGATCCCTCAAGCCAGCGTAGTTATTTAGGCACCGGGATTTCATAGAGAATGGTTCACTCCCAGAATCCTCAGAAGGGTTGAAGCGGCACTTGGCCCTGGACACTGCCAAACTGGTCTGCCGGGGCTGCCGCCGCTGGGCCCATTCCAGGGCGTACAGCTTCAGCCGTGAACCGAGCACCAGGAAGCCTCTGCCGGCAGCACAGAACTGGACTCCACATGCCGCTGCAGGACCCCCGAGGTTTCTGGACACACACGTGCCAGGGGAGCAGGAGGGTGGCCCCTGCCTCGCTCACTTTCCAAAGCCCCAGTACGGGGGCAGCTCCAGGGCGGAGCCCAGTCTGTCCAGCGCCTTGCTCCCAGGGGTGCTGGGCGACGTGGTCCTGGGAGGCTGGCTGGAGGGAGTGGGAATGGAAGCTGCGGGGCAGTCAACCACACCCTCCGTGTGATGCAGATCGATCGCCGGGTGCAAGCTGATCTGTGTGTAGCCGAGAGGGCTGGTGCGGTTTAACCGCAGCGGGCACTGTCCCGCCCTCCTCGGATTCCTGGGAGGAGATGGACACTGGTCTTGGTGGGTGGTGGGGCAGAGGCAGGGAGGTAGCCTGGTTCTGGCCACCTTCGCACCCTCCCTCCGAGGTGGCCTGGCGGTATCCCTACCTGACCACGGGGCAGGGTTGGTGGCATGGCCTCAGGGTTCCATGAGTGACAGCTCCAGGTGTGCCCAGAGATGTTGCCCCTTTTTGTCCCAAGAGTCTCAGCGCGTCCCTCTGCCTGCCTTTGTCCCAGCATGCCCCATGCTCTTCCAGGTGGACAGGAGTTCCCAGAGTGGCCCCTCTGCTCTCCTTCTCTCCCCAGGGCCAAGGCCACTCTGTGCACTTGGCCTGCCCAGGTGGGCTCTCTTCCCAGCTCCACCACCCTGGTCCAGGCTGCCGCTTCTGTTGCTAAGAAGTCTGTGGCGGCCTCCTACTCAGGGTCCCCGAGACCAGCTCCACCTCCAGGTCTGGTGAGTCCCCAGAGGGACTGAGCCGACAGCGTGCCCGTAGCTGTGTGTTGTTACGTCAGAAGGACACTGCCAAGTGCAAAGGTGTGACGGGCGAAGTTCCAAGAGACCAGCTCTCCCCTCGGGGTCATGCAGGACGCGTGAAATTCCTCCAGCGGTGAGCTGTGACGACCTGTGTGGGCTTCTGTCTGCTCGGAACGCTTGTGGGAGACCCGGCACGCAGGGTTCCTGTCCGGCTGGATGGGAGTTCAGCAGCAGCTGTGTAGGTGCCCGTCTTTGGCAGGCTGCGCCCTTGCCCGGCTTGGTGCCTGGCACACAGCCCCCTTGCCAGACGAGCAGGATGTGGGTCCCGCTGTAGCCAGTCATGGGTTGAAGTTGTGTCCATGTCTGAAGCCCCGGGACCTGTGAGTGGCCTTCTTGGGGACAGGATCGAGTTCACTGAGCTCCTCCTGCATTTGGGTGGATCCTAAATCCACTGCCCATGGTCCTTCTACAAAGTGGGAAATTCGCACACAGAGACACAAAGAAATAGAGAGAAGACGGCTGTCTGGAGAGAGAGGCAGAGGCCGCAGCGATGCAGCCTTGAGGCCGGGCACCCCTGTGTAGGTGGCAGGAGGGCTCCTCCCCCAGCCTGCAGATTAGCCCTGGCCTGCCGCCCTGGATCCCTGCCTCTGGCCTTCAGGGCTGTGGGGAAGGAATTGGTGGTGTTTGCAGCCCCCGGCGTGTGTGGTTTTGCGTGGCAGCCGCAGGACACTCACGCAACCGTGCTGCCTGCAGACTCCCGGTGCCCCTGTGGGTCCTGGACACCCCCATTCTGCAGATGTGCACTGGCTGAAGGCCACAGCGGGGTGTGGTGCACTTGCTGTTTGTTGTCGCCCCTCAGCCCTGGGGGACCCATTTCCAGCCTTGAGTTTGTTGGGTTCAACTTTCGAGAGGCCTCTCCTGCTCAGGATGTCTCCCTGCTCAGGGTGAGGATTGGAGGCAGCGGTGTGGCCAATCGGGAGGGTGCTGTGTGGCCCTCAGCCCCTCCTGGGACTTGGCTGAGTCAACACAGGGCCTGGATGCAGCAATTGCACGCAATCCACTTCCACGGGGCCAGATCATTCCACTTCCAGTGTTTCCATCTGCGACCAGTGAATCCCGGAGAAGCAAAGCTGACTGCAAGGAACTGCGTGCAGCTGAGGGCGAGACAGCGGCGCGGGAGCAGCCTCCTGACTGCGGACAGGACCGGAACCGAGCAAGCGTGTGCCTGTTCTTCATGAGAGCTGCTGGCACATCCCGGGGCTGAAACAACCCAGCTTGCATGTCGTGGTTTCCCCGTTGTCCGTGCTGCATGAGCTGAAAGCGTCAGAAGGCCTGGGGGATGTGTGTCTTGGGCAGGGAATCGTATACCAGAGTTACAGATTTGGCAGAAAAGGTTCCAGTGAGCACCAGGCTCAAGTTTCCTCCTTCAGAATTTTTTGGGGTGTTGGTTAAAGCGTCAAGTGCTGGGCCAGCATTGTGGTGCAACAATTAAGCCGCCCCTTGTGATGTTGGCATCCCCGTATCGGAGTGCTGGCTGCTCTGCTTCTGGTCCCTGCCAGTGCACCTGGGAAGGCAACAGAAGGTGACCCAAGTCCTTGGGCACCTGCCACCATGTGGGAGACCTGGGTGGAGTTCCTGGCTCCAGGCTTCAGCCTGGTCCAGCGCCAGCTATTGTGGCCATTTGGGGAGCAAACCAGCAGATGGAAGACTTCTCTTTATCTTTCCCTCTCTCTCTGTTGCTCTACCTTTCAAATAATCTTTTTAAATAAAAAAGATGTCCGGCGCTCAGTGTGGGTATGCACGGGCACAGCCGTCGTCCTCTAGCTCTGTTGCCCCAAAGACTTTTCTGGAAGGGGAGCACTGGGAGTCAGAAGGGTGAGTTAGAGCCTCCCGCCTTCACCGGCTGGCGGCCTTCCTCGGAAGCCTGCGAGGCCTTCCGCACGGAAGGGGAAGATAGGCACACTGCTGCCAGGGTAGGCCAGCCAAGGTGGGTGCCGGGCGCAGCCACACCCCGGCCCTTCCTGTCCCAGTGCCCCCGGGCAGGGGCCTTCACGTGGAAAGTGCTTCTTCCCTCACCGGCGTGTGGGGTGGACTGAGCCACGTGTGCCACGTGTGCACGTGGAGGGGACACGGGTCAGGGGGCCACGTGTGCACGTGGAGGGGACACTGCGGTCAGGGGGGCCACGTGTGCACGTGGAGGGGACACTGGGGTCAGGGGGGCCACGTGTGCACGTGGAGGGGACACGGGTCAGGGGGGCCACGTGTGCACGTGGAGGGGACACTGGGGTCGGGGGGGCACGTGTGCACGTGGAGGGGACACTGGATCAGGGGGGCCACGTGTGCACGTGGAGGGGACACTGGATCAGGAGGCCACGTGTGCACGTGGAGGGGACACTGGGGTCAGGGGGGCCACGTGTGCACGTGGAGGGGACACTGGGGTCGGGGGGGCCACGTGTGCACGTGGAGGGGACACTGGGGTCAGGGGGCCATGTGTGCATGTGGAGGGGACACTGGGTCAGGGGGGCCACGTGTGCACGTGGAGGGGACACTGGGGTCAGGGGGGCCACGTGTGCACGTGGAGGGGACACCGGATCAGGGGGGCCACGTGTGCACGTGGAGGGGACATTGGGGTCAGGGGGCCATGTGTGCACGTGGAGGGGACACTGCGGTCAGGGGGCCATGTGTGCACGTGGAGGGGACACTGCGGTCAGGGGGGCCACGTGTGCACATGGAGGGGACACGGGTCAGGGGGGCCACGTGTGCACGTGGAGGGGACACTGGATCAGGGGGGCCACGTGTGCACATGGAGGGGACACTGGGGTCGGGGGGGCCACGTGTGCACGGGAGGGGACGCTGGATCAGGGGGGCCACGTGTGCACATGGAGGGGACACTGGGGTCAGGGGGGCCACGTGTGCACATGGAGGGGACACCGGATCAGGGGGGCCATGTGTGCACGTGGAGGGGACACTGGGGTCAGGGGGGCCACGTGTGCATGTGGAGGGGACACGGGATCAGGAGGGCCACGTGTGCACGGGAGGGGACACGGGTCAGGGGGCCACGTGTGCATGTGGAGGGGACACTGGGGTCGGGGGGGCCACGTGTGCACGGGAGGGGACGCAGTCCACCCGGAACCGCCCTGCAGAAAGACAGCAGAAGGTTGGGGCAGACCTGCTTCTCAGCTTGGGATGGGCAGATGTCCCTCCCCACCTGTGTGGGTCTCTGGGTCCCCGAGACCCCTTGAATTCGGTAGTTTTTGTATCGGGGACACGGAGGTGATAAATTTTGATCACCCTGGATTTAAGCAGCCTCCTCCTAACATCCCATCCGTGTCTCTCTGCCTTGTCGGTGTGTGACTCCAGATGACGTGTGGCTGGCATTGTGTGAGTTCACGCAGGTGTGAGGATGCGGTCTCTGCCGAGAGGCCGGCGAGTGTGTGAACGGAAGCGCCACTGCTGTGCTCACCGCCGCCGGCTTCGCGAGTGTGTGAACGGAAGCGCCACTGCTGTGCTCACTGCCGCCGGCTTCGCGTTGGGAAAGAGTGGTTTTCATGAAAATGTGCTCATCTGCGGGACCTGCCGCCTTCGGCAGCCTGGGCGGCTAGAGCAAATCCACGACCTCTAGGCAGCGGGCGTTTCTTCCCCCAGTCCTGGAGGTGCTGTAAGGACACCTCCCAGCGTCCGCCGTGGTGGAAGCGGTGACGGCTGGAGGGGCCGCTTCCATGGGCACCAATCCCGTGTCCCTTTCATGGCCCGTCACCTCCCAGACCCCACCCCTAGGTGTCAGCAAGTGTTAGTTTCTGCGTCAGCTGCGGTAGGCAGAGCCCGTAGGAGCAGAAGCTCTCGAGGGTCTTTGGAACTGTGTGTTTTTTAGAGTGTGGAAGGGGACTGGCACTGTGGCGCAGTGGGTTAACCCCGCTGCCTGCGATGCCGACATCAGGAGCACTAGTTCCAGTCCTGGCTGCTCTGCTTCTGATCCGGCGTGTGGGGTAGACTGAGCCACGTGTGCTCTCTGCTAATGCACCTAAGAAAGCAGAGGAAGATGGCCAAGGGCTTGGGTCCCTGCACCCACGTGGAGACTTGGATGGAGATCTAGGCTTCTGGCTTTGGCCTGGCCTGGCCCTCCCATTGTGGCTATTTGGGGAGTGAACCAGCAGATGGAAAAATCTCTGTGTGTGACTCTGCCTTTGAAATATGCATATTAATATATATTTCAAATACATTTATTAATAAAGTATATATACTTTAAAGGCAGTAAAGCAAACCTGAGACCTAAAGGTTTGGGCCTGCTGGTGGACGGTGCACGCACTCGGGGTCTCACTCACCTTTCCCTCGCTAACTGCCACCACGAGGAAGCAGTCAGGTAAACAGAGTGAAGTGCTGCTAGCGAATCAACCCGGAGAAGCACGGCTCCAGAACTTGCCTGCCCGGGCCCTCGTCAGCACCTGAGTGAGAGCGGAGGCCGACGTGGGGTGTGGGCTCAGGTCCTGCCGTGGCACGCGGACACAGCTGCACATGTGTTTCCGGGTCGCTGGGAGACTCAGGCTGCCATGGGACTGGCAACATGGCCGGGTGCGGTGCTGGTGCCCTGGTTCTGCGGACGATGCTGCTGTCGTTCGAGGTGCACAATGGACTCCACGTGTGCCTGCAACCTGCGGGTGGACGTGAACACGGGAAGCGGGACGCGGCCGAGGCCCACAGTCGTGTGGCCCTCCGGCTTCGGTGGGAATGCTTGGATTTGACTGTTCTTTCAGCGTTTCCGTGGAGATTTCCCACACAGAACGTGCTGCTCCATTCACTCCGGTCTTCTGTTCTTAAGATCGATTGATTTATTTGAAAGGTAGTGAGTGAGTGAGCGAGTGCTTCCATCCGCTGGTTCACTCCCCAGAGGGCCACAATAGCTAGGGTGGGCCAGGCTGAAGCCAGGGCCAGGGGCTCCACGCAGGGCTCATGTACTTGGGCCGCCGCCTTCCTTGGCTTTCCCAGCTGCAGTAGCTGGGGCTCCAACTGGAGCTCCGACATGGGAGGCAGGAATCCCAAGTGATGGCTGCACCCATTGGGCCATAGCACTGGCCCTCCCTCCATTTTTTAAAAAAAATTAATATCTATTTATTTATATAAGAGGAAGAGTTAGAGAGGGAGAGACCAGAGAGACAGGTCTCCCGTCTGCTGGTTCACTCCCCAGATGGCTGCAATGGCCAAAGCTAGGCAGATCCAAAGCCAGGACAGGAGCTTCTGGGTCTCCTATGTGGGTGCAGGGGCCCAAGTGCTTGGGCCATCTTCTGCCTTCCCAGGCCAGAGCAGGAAAGTGGAGAAGCCGCGACTTGAACTTGTGCCCATATGGGATGCTGGCACTCTAGAAAGTCAGAGTTACACAGAGAGAAAAAGGGAGGCAGAGAGAGAGGGAGAGAGGTCTTCATCCGCTGGTTCACTCCCCAATTGGCCACAACGGCCAGAGCTGGGCTGATCCAAAGCCAGGAGCTGCTTCTGCATCTCCCACGTGGGTGCAGGGGCCCAAGGACTTGGCCACCTTTCACTGCTTTCCCAGGCCACAGCAGAGAGCTGGATCAGAAGTGGAGCAGCTGGGACTCGAACCAGAGCCCATATGGGATGCCAGCACTGCAGGCGGTGGCTTTCCCTGCTACGTCATAGCGCCGGCCCTGGAGCCTTGACCTGTTACCACAGCGCCTACCCCTCGCCCTCCGTTTCTGACATGGAGCTCCATGAGCGGGTACTGGTTAGGGTTGGGTTCAGATTGAATAGCAGACGGAGCTAACAGTGGTTTACGTGAGCGGGAAGCTTAGTTCTGTTATGTGGACGCTCACAGGAAGGTGGCGGGCAGATGGTTGGCTCTGAGGCACATTGTCCTAAGGACCACGGCACCCTCCACGCTGTCCGTTCCCTTAGGGCTCGGGGGGAGGGGGGGGCTGTGCAGCTCTGGCTGTTGCACCATGTTCCTGTTACTTTTAGGGAAGGACCCTCAGCTGGCACAGAACACTGCCTCATACCTGTCCTTGGCCAGAACTGACTCTCGTAGCTGCAAGGGAAGCTCCACCCCAAACGGGACGATTATTGCCTTGGGAGTTGGCGGACAGTTTGGTGGCTGCCCTGTGTTGTCTCAGCTTTCTGTGATGGGGACGACACTCTCAGTCCCTCCCTCCGTCCTCCCTCCCTCCCTTCCTTCTTTATGATTGATTGATTGATGGATTTGAAAGGCAGAGAGAGAGAGAGATCTTCCATCTGCTGGTTCATTCCCCAAATGGCTGCAATGGCCCAAACTGGGCCAGGCTGAAGCTGAGAGCCTGGAACTCCATCTGGGTCTCCCACGTGGGTGCAGGGGCCCCAGCACTTGGGCCTTCCTCTGCTGCTCTCCCAGGTGCATTAGCAGGGAGCTGGATCAGAAGTGGAGCAGCCAGGACTTGAACCACATGGGATGCCAGCATCACAGGTGGCAGCCTAACCAGAACTGTGCCACGACGCCGGCCCCACCAGGGCCCTGTAGGCCCAGCGCCGGCTTGGAGAGATCCCTGAGTCCCATGTGAGTGACCGCCCTGCTTCTCTCTTCTGTCCCGCAGTCTCCAACCTGTCCCAGTACTTCAGTCCGGCCTCGGTGGCCAACAGCCCTGCCCGTGCCCTGCTGCTGGTGGGCGTGGTCCTCCTGGCCTACTGGTTCCTGTCTCTCACCCTGGGCTGCACCTTCAGCGTCCTGCACCTGCTGTTCGGCCGCTTCTTCTGGATCGTGCGGGTCGTCCTGTTCTCCATGTCGTGCGTGTACATCCTGCACAAGTACGAGGGCGAGCCCGAGAGCGCCGTGCTGCCGCTCTGCTTCGTCGTGGCCGTCTACTTCATGACCGGGCCCATGGGCTTGTACTGGCGCGGCAGCCCCAGCGGCCCCGGCGGCCCCGGCAGCCCCGGCGTGGAGGAGAAGCTGGAGCACCTGGAGAACCAGGTCCGGCTGCTCAACATCCGCCTCAACCGGGTGCTGGAGAGCCTGGACCGCAACAAGGACAAATGAAGGTCGGCCGGCCGCCTGGGTCCTCTTCCACCAGCGCGGGCTCTCGGAAAACCAAAAAGGAAGAAAAAAAAATAGCAACAACCCTAAACACTCTTAATAAACACTGCTGAGCGAGACGGTGGCACTTTGGGAGGGTGTGAGGAGGGCGTCTGTCCGACGCCACGCCACGTGTCGGCAGCGGGAGGAACATTTTTTAAACAAAGGCTGTAACCATATTAGCTGTACAGTCAGAGAGATTTATCTGTGCATAGAGCATAATGTTACTTTTTCAAGCATTTAAATACATCTTTTGTAAGGCTTTTTTAATGCGGGCAGATGGAGTGAAGTTTATTAAGACTACGCTGAGGGGAGAGTGTGCTGCCGCGTGTTTCGGGAAGGTCCCGGCGCGGTTGCCTCCGAGCGTGTGGACAGGCGGGTGAGGTCAGCGCGCGCGTTCTCAGGTTCCAAAGTGGAGCTGTGTTTTCCAGGTCCTTGGTTGCTGTTGACTTTGCAGATGTGCACACTTTGGCCTGAGGATAAAACACCCTCTCTCGGGTCCTAGCCGGCCCCGCCAGGCCCTGCAAAGCCCCGCTCCATTATCCTCGGGGAGGCCCGAGGTCCATTTTCCTCTGTCCTCGGATGTATTTTAACCTCCACATTCCTGAAAGGAAAATGCAAGGATGGGGCTGGGACACATCTCTGGGCCTGATGCCGAGAGTTGGGGAGGTGTTGAAGCCCCAGCGCCTGCTGGCCGACTCCCGGCTGTGGTCCGCGCGGGAACACTGCGCCCTCAGCTGCTTTGTTTGCTTGGTTTGGTTGTGGTTGACCCGGGACTCCTGGCCTTTGCTTGCTGCTCACAAAGCAGCCTGGGGTCATCAGTAGAGCCTGGTGTCGACGTGTGCTCTGTGCTTTTGGTCTGCAGAGCGCTGTGTCCTCGTTTGAGGTCATCTCTGGGTCCACGGTGGGTGGACAGCTGTGTGGGTCCCAGGCCGGGGAGCTTCGGGGAAGATGGGCCCTTGCTGGGATCTCACTGGGATCTCACTGGGAAGGGAGCTGGCTTTTGCAGGAGGCGGTTTTGCAGGCTGCTGGGGATGGCACCTGTCCCCCAGAGCCCTCCTGCGGATTCTCACGGACCCCTGTCAGATCTGGGGGTGCTCAGACCTCACGGTCGTCCAGGCGTCAGCCTGAAGGCTTAGCTGTCTGCCAGTTCCTGGGTAGCTTGTGTGTGAAGTTGTGTTTCAGGAAAAAGATGTCTGGAGCTTGTATTTCTAAGGTGCACATCACGGGACCCAGTCTCTCCTGCGTCCGGGTCTCCCTGTTCTCCAGGGTTGCCTGGCTGAGCCTTTATCCTGGACTCTGGATGGAAGCCATTCCAGTCTTGTCGTCAGACTCACAGCCGATCCACGTTGGCACAGGTATGAGCGACGTCCGTCCTTCCCTGCGACCGGCTGTGCCACCTTTAGGTGCCGAAACGCGGCCAGGGGAACACCGGCACCCTGCACCGCGCCAGGGAGCCGGGCCCTTGCCCTGCCTCCTCCCTTGTGGCCGCAGGGAGATGCCTGGTGGTGAAACCGTCCTGGGCTGGGTGTGGCCTCCCCTCTGCTCTCCCTCCCCGGCTTCCCCCGGGCGTGCAGGGCACTGAGCTCGCCAGGCGCAGACGGCCGTCAGCAGTTGGCTAAGGATGGACCCTGGAGCCCCTCCCGTTTTGGTTGCACTCGGGGGACAGCGGCGTCCTCGCTAGGGGGAACTGGTGACGCCGGAGCACTTGAGCCGAGCGCGTTATCTGGAGTTCTCATCGATGCCCTCGATGCCAGCTGCGAAACGTTTTTAGCGATTTTTAATACACAGATTCCACTTTTGTTCAGGAAAATTCTTGGCCCCAAATAGTTTGGGGTTTTTTCTTGGTTTATTTCTCCATCCCACAGAAGCTTTGTAGGGCATTTGGCCTCCCCTCGCCATCTCTCTTTTCTCACTTTTGTATGTGGAAAAATGTATTTTTGTACACACTTCTCATACCTGGAAGAGAAACTTGTAATCTTCAGGGCTGGAGGGTCGGCTAGAGCTGTGCTTCACGGGGTGTGATCCCAGACATTCCGGTGACAGTTGCTGGGGATCCGTTACCATGCTTCGATGTCTTCAGTTTCATGGTGTTGGCGTCCCCAGGCGCCAGTATCCCAGGAGCTAGCCTGTAGGGTGGGAGGCGTGGCCGGGCAGAGCCCTGGGTATGTGCAGGCCTGGGGGGTCGCCGGGAGCCACGCTGCAATCCCTGGCATCTTGTCTTCACGCCTCTGCCGGGAATCGCTCCTGCAGCCACAGCATCGCGACAGCAGGCCTTGTGCGTCGTGCTGGGCTCTTCATCAGAGGGGTGACCGAGGGCCGGCGCCCAGAGGTGAATGCCACCGGGGAGGTTTTCACAGGGGGCCACGCAGGCGCTGTGCGGGGTGCAGGCTGGGGTCTGTCGTCGGGAGAGTTACAACGCGACTCGCAGGCCCAGGAGGGCTGCCATGAAGGCGTGGCAGAAGCCCTGTGCTCACCAGTGGGGCTGTCACTCAGCAGACCTCAGGAGAGGTGGAGTGTGACAGATGTCGGGCAGACAGCACAGCCTCTGAGGATGCGGCTGACGCTGCTCCTTGCTGGCGGGAACCCTGAATCCCTGCTTGGGGTGGGCTTCGTGGTGACAGCAGCCTCGCGGCTGCCACCTGCTGACGGACGTAACCAGAGCCAGCTGGTGGCAGGGGGCAGCAGGAGTTCCCAGGGCTCCTCCCAGCTTTTACCCAGAAGCGTGTCACCAGTTTGAGTGTGGACGTTCTGGTCTTCTCGTGTGAGTGGCAGAACGGCACAGACGTATGTTGCAGCGGGACCCTTACAGTTCGCCCTGGACGACGCCCGGCGTGCCAGGCGCAGCTTCTGGCGGGAAGGCCCGGCTTTGTTCCGACACTGGACTCTGTGCTTTGCTCCTCACTGGGTTTCAGCACCAGGATCTGCAGTGGTACTGGCTTCTCTTGTGGTGGCACGAGCTGACTGTCGTTTGCATCGTCCACGGGGAACCCGTGGCGGCTCACGGCGTCATCGACCCTGTGTTCCGATGCCCTCTGTGCAGGGTCGGAGGTCGCGCCGTGTCACTGTAACATCCACACGTGCGTCCTGCGTGGTGCTGTCGCTCCCGGGTGATGGCACCGGGATTAGCACACGCTTCCAGGCCAGCAAAGCAGCTATCTTCCTCGACTGGCATCACCCTGTGAGGTGAGGCACCTTGTCAAGAGCGCATTCACGATTCCACTCGTATTCGTGCTTTGGGTTATACATTTTATATAGCGTTAATTGGACGCTGTAGATCTGTTTGGTTTGAACACAGTGGTGTTTGTGCTTTTTAGTTCTATTTGGGAGACTGATTCTACAAGAACCTTAGACATTAATGTATTGGGCTTAGAATCATTTTTTTTTTTTTTGCAGTATCTACAATCTTATTTATTAAATCACTGGACTTGGTGTTATGTAGAGATATTTGTAGATTGATTTCAGAACAGAATTAGAATATTGTGGAAATTACGGCTTAATAAACGTTTGTTGTAATTTTGTTCCATGGGCTTTTCTTTTACATTTTATTTGGTATTACACCTTTAAATATTAATACATAGAGAACAGGTTTCGTGAATTTCACAGATACTTTCCTCCCCGTCTGGACTTCTTAAATACACTCCTCCCTCCCAGTGGAGCATCGGGGGATCCCCCAGTGACTCATGGCACCATTCTGGGCCCCGGTCAGGATGCCCGTGTTCCGTTCCCTTGGAGGTAGGCTTGCCGGCTTGAGATACAGCTGCCAGATTTGAATTTCAGATAAGCAAACCATGCTCTTTGTAGTAAAGTATATCCCAGTTTTTTTTTTGTTTTTTTTTTTTTTTGGGGGGGACAGGCAGAGTGGACAGTGAGAGAGAGAGACAGAGAGAAAGGTCTTCCTTTGCCGTTGGTTCACCCTCCAATGGCCACCGCGGCCGGTGCGCTGCGGCCGGTGCACCGCGCTGATCCGATGGCAGGAGCCAGGAGCCAGGTGCTTTTCCTGGTCTCCCATGGGGTGCAGGGCCCAAGCACCTGGGCCATCCTTCACTGCACTCCCTGGCCACAGCAGAGAGCTGGCCTGGAAGAGGGGCAACCGGGACAGAATCCGGCGCCCTGACCGGGACTAGAACCCGGTGTGCTGGCGCCGCTAGGCGGAGGATTAGCCTAGTGAGCTGCGGCGCCAGCCTATCCCATTTTTTTTGTTTTTGTTTTTTTAATGATTTATTTGAAAGGCGGAATTGTAAGGACAGAGAGAGAGAGATCTTCCATCCACTGGTTCACTCCCCAAGAGGCTGAAAGGGCCAGGGCTGGGCCAGGCCCAAGCCAGGAGCCTACAGCTTTGTCTGGGTCTCCCATGTGGGTGGCGGGGGCCCAAGCACTTGGGCCATCTTCCGCCGCTTTTCCAGGCCATTAGCAGGGAGCTGGATCAGAAACAGAGCAGCCGGGACTCAAACCCCTGGTACTCACATGACGCCGGCGTCCCAGGTGGTGGCCTAACTAGTGCCATAGCACCGGCCCCTATATCCCAGATACTGCGTGGGACGTAATTATACTAAGACAGTATTGGCTGTTATCTGAACGTCAGACTCGTCCTGTGTGTGGGGTGGTGCGCCCCAGCAGGATGGAGCAGCTGTTACGAAGCCCTTGGCAGCACCCTGACCTCCTGTGTGGAAGATAGTTTCCCTACCAAACACTGGGCAAAGACGACGGGGGTGTAGCCCAGGAAGCGCACTCAGGAGCCCAGAGCACGGGCTGGGTGCACACGGCAAGCACCGCAAAGGAAGTCCCGCGCAGATCCACACGGGGCGGTTTGAGGCTGGACCCTGTGATGTAAGTTGGAGACTCATGGGCAGTGGTCACTGGGAGAGTGGGCAGGAGACGTGAGGGGGCCAGGCGGTTGGTGACCACACAGTGCAAGGTGTCCAGGCAGAAACCAGAACGAGTAGGAAGACAGCTCATTTGAATAAAATAAATACCTGTGATCAAAAGAACAGCTTTGTAAGAATGTATTTTTATTTTTAAAGACTTACTTATTTGAAAGGCAGAGTTAGAGAGGTAGAGACAGAGAGAGGTCCTCCATCTGCCGGCTCACTCCTCAAGTGGCCACAAGGGCCAGGGCTGGGCCAGGCTGAAGCCAGGAGCCAGGGGCCAGGAGCTTCTGTTGGGTCTCCCAAGCAGATGCAGGGGCCCAAGGACTTGGGCCATCTTCTGCTGCTTTCCCAGGCCGCAGCAGAGAGCTGGATGGGAAGAGGAGCAGCCGGGACTGGAACCGGCGCCCATATGGGATGCTGGCGTCACAGGCAGAGGCTTAGCCCACCACCCCAAGGGAACTCAGGGCCTGCAGAAGCAGTGGGCAGGGTCTGCTGACCAGGGGCTCTAAGCACTGCTTAGATTCCTCTCCGCCAGCAGGCCCTTGGCTGTCTGGAGCACAGCGGATCCTTTTGCCCCTAGAGGGTCTATGAACTTTCAACGTCTTTATCTAAGAACAGCGCCGTCAGCCGTCCGTCCTCGCTGTCGGGAGAGGGGACATGATGCCGGCCGCTCCCAGTCGCCGCCGCACTTGCTCGGCCGTTGGTACCTGAGGTTGACGTCAGGCGCTGCGAGCTGGGTGTGGGTGGCATCACCAGGTACCAGCGCAATGCAGAGTGAAGAAGTCACCTCCTGGGAGCGGGAGATAGCATCTCAAAGTCAGCCTGTTTAAGACTAGAGAAAAGGGGCTGGCGCTGTGGCACTGGCTTCCCATATGGGCGCCGGTTCGAGTCCCCGCTGCTTTACTTTCCATCCGGCAACCTGCTGATGGCCTGAGTGCTGGGCCCCTGCCCGCGCATGGGAGCCCCAGAGGAAGCTCCTGGCTCCTGGCTTCGGCCTGGTCTGGCACTGCCCGTTGTGGCCATTTAGGGAATGAACCAGTGGATGGAAGACATCCCCCCCCCCCCCGCGTTTCTCTCCAACTCTGCCTTTCAAATAAATCTTTTTTAAAAGTCAGAACGGCGACAACCAATGGAGACCACACCTCGGGGCCCGGGTGGCTGCCTGCCCCCGTGTCCTGCCGGCCTGAGTGCCCACCAGGTGATGGTCAGCGCCCGGCCCCTCCCAGCGCCCACCGCAGCCCCGCAGGTGACGGTCAGCATCCGCGCCCGGCCCCTCCCAGCGCCCACCGCAGCCCCGCAGGTGATGGTCAGCGTCCGCGCCCGGCCCCTCCCAGCACCCACCGCAGCCCCGCAGGTGACGGTCAGCGCCGGCCCCTCCCAGCGCCCACAGCAGCCCCGCAGGTGACGGTCAGCGCCGGCCCCTCCCAGCGCCCACAGCAGCCCCGCAGGTGACGGTCAGCGTCGGCGCCCGGCCCCTCCCAGCGCCCACCGCAGCCCCGCAGGTGACGGTCAGCGCCGGCCCCTCCCAGCGCCCACCGCAGCCCCGCAGGTGACGGTCAGCGCCGGCCCCTCCCAGCGCCCACAGCAGCCCCGCAGGTGACGGTCAGCGCCGGCCCCTCCCAGCGCCCACAGCAGCCCCGCAGGTGACGGTCAGCGCCGGCCCCTCCCAGCGCCCACCGCAGCCCCGCAGGTGGTGGTCAGCGCCGGCCCCTCCCAGCGCCCACCGCAGCCCCGCAGGTGACGGTCAGCGCTCGCGCCCGCTCCGCTCCCCCGACCCGGGGCACCCCCGCGGGCTTATTCCGGGGCTTTGCGGGGTTCCGCGCGCTGTCCCCCCGCGCAGAGGCCGGCTCGCCCCGGCGGCTCTCTGCGCATACTGGGAGACGGAAACGGAAGCGCGGACATTGCGCGGACGCCTCAGGCGCCACAGCCGGAGCCCGAGAGGGCCGCGGGTTTGGGCGGACTGGCCGGGCCCGTCGGGTTGTCAAGGTGACGGCGCCCGGGCCTGGGGGGGTCGAAAGGTGACTCCGCCCCGTCGCCCAGCGCCGATTGGGCACGCCCTTTTCTGAATCCCGTTCCGGATTGGCTGAGAGGCGCGGCCCACGCACCGGAACGCCGTGCGATTGGTTGGCGTTCAGGCCAACCTTCCGCGGTGCGGCGGCCTGGGCTGATGTGAGGCCAGCGCTCCGCCAACCAATCAGCGTATGAGCTGAGGGTGGCGCGTGCGTGTGGCCAGGATCCCTCCGCCGTCGCCGCTCCCACCGCCTCCGGACAAGGCGGGAACGGAGCTGAGCGGGCGGGGGTGGTCGGGAGGCCGAGGGCGGCGAGCCGAGCCGAGCCGAGCGGCTGCGCCCTGAGGGGCCGTCCCCTCGCTGCCCAGGACCCCGCCTGGAAGTTCAGACTCACGCGTGACGGCTGCAAGACGAACTAAAATAACACGTCGCTTGCTCCGAGGGTGCAGGCACCGGCCTGCGGTTCCGGATCCCATAAATACGCCGTTAGGGTGCGTCAGTTAAAAGTTCATGTAAATATTAGAAAGAACAAGGCAAAGGTGAAACCAAATAAGCAAAAATGGAAGGGAGGGTGGGAGGGAGGAAGGAACTTTTTTTTTTTTTTTTTTAAGACTTAAATGCCCCAAATGTCCGGGAAATGCGCACTAGGCACACGGAGCAGACCGCGGGCCCGCAGCTCTGCGCTCAGCACCGGGGGAGCTCCGGGAACGGGGGTGGGGTGCGGGGATCCGGGCGCGCTTTGAGCAGGGGCCGCCGGGGGCTTCGTTTCCGACAACAGCAGGTGCAGTGAGTGCCCGGCCGCTGGCTGCTTGCAGGCTCTTGGCTCCTGCTGGGACAGGGCAGGGCCGCGGTGTGCGTAAGCGGGTTCTTTCCTTTCCGCCTCTCAGCCGGGCGCCAGCGCGACCCCCGAGGGCCTTGTGCTTTTCATCACCCTTTTCTTTGGAAGCCTGGCTCCTGGAGAGAGCAGGTTAAACTTGCCTAAGAGGAGACGGGAGCCAAACCAAGCCAGAGGGTGCAGGGTCAGCTCGTCGGGTCACTTTTTCTTTGTCCTGTCACGGGCAAGCAGGCCGGCACGCGGTGCCACGCTTCAGAGGGCCGGCTCGTGGGACCCGTGGCTGGCAATGGCCGCTTCACCCCTGGCATGGGTGCTGAAGCATTGGTGCTCCCTGGAGCCAATTGTTGGTGACGCAGAGTGGCAGGTGTCATGCAGAGCCGCCCCGAGGGTCTGCCGTGAGCCAGTGGCGGCCATCCGAGGAGCCACAGGGCACACGGTGGAGCCCCCCCAGCCCCCAGCCCCCAGCAACGGAGGGAGCAGGAGGTTTGAAAGAGGAAACCAGCGGATAATCAAGATGATCTAGCCCTGTGCTGTCCGGAGTCCGGAGCCCCAAGGGTGGGGCAGTGGGCTGGCGAGGGAGTGGCGTCCAGGGCAGGTGATCCCCGCGGAGGTGGACCGGTGGTGGACAGCTCACTGGCCCAGTTACCAATTCACAGAATTTGCAGCACTGTTCAGATTTCCTCTCTTCCCAAAAGCAGCGTTGCTGGCTGAGTCCCCTTGGTTTAGAGTCACTGAATAGGAACCCATGTCTTGTGGTCTTGTGCTTTATCTCTGGCATGAGAGAAGACACTGTCACATGCCCACACACA